ATCTTAAACCTGAGACATTCAAAATGATTAATCAGCTCAGTCATTCCCTTTATGTGACATTCTCCCTCTGACCCACAATTACAACCTCACTTGAGTGACTCTTCCACTTTTCTTTTCTTGTTGTTACTACTTTGGTTATTTGATGTCTCTATGATGATGTCCACATGCCTAATCAGTATCTCAAACTCAACATGTCCAACACTGATCCTCTAAACCTGCTCCACCTGCAGCCTTCCCATCCCGGGTAATAGCCATGCCATCCCTCCGGTTGCTCAGTCCAGACACATTGACCTCCTACAGGTCCAGAAACCAACCACTCTTACCACCACCACCTCCCTTGTCCCAGCCTCTGTCATCTCTTGCCTGGATGACGGTTGTCACCCCCAAACAGCCTTCTCTCCTGCTTTAGCCCTTACGCCTACCAAAGTCTGCCTTCCACATAGCAGCCAAAGTTGACTTTATTTAAATGGTAAGTTTTATCATTTCAAAAACTTTATGATCTCAGACTCCTGCAGGGGCCCCTTATTTCTCGGAGACTAAAAATCAAAACCTGTCCAATGGCCGGAAGGCCATATATTGACTCTCTGACTTCCTGCCTCATGCTTCCCCTCTCGCTCTGTACACTGACCCCCTGACTGCTTGCACCCCCCGCCAAGCCCCGACCCCCGGGCCTGACTCCAGCGGGTTCCTGTGGAACCCTCTTTCCCTGAGCTAGCTCCCTCCTGCCTTCAACTCTTCTTTCAAATCATACCTTTTCCTGCAACTACCTTACCGGCCCCAACCCAAATGACTGTCACATTCCCACTACTCTGCCCTTCTTTTCCTTCTGTCCGTGCAGTTACTGTCATGTCATCTGAGATGCTATACGATTTTTCTCAAGAGTGAAAGTATTTATTATGTTTATTGTTTATTATCTTTCTCTCCACATCCCTACCACCACTAGTCCCTTGACTGTTTTGTTCACTGACGTATTTCAAGCACATGTTACAATGCCTGGAACATACGCAATGTATTTGTTGAATGAAATCAAGTCATTTGTTCAGTGACTTAATTCGCAAATTAAAAGACAGCGCTTTCTCTGTGCAAGGCCTAAAGTTCAGTGGCTACAAAGGAACAATACAGGCTTCCTACTCGCATGTAGCTTATAATTTAGTAAGAAGCAAAGGAAATGCATGAACACCTCTTATACACATCAACGGGACTGAGTCCAGTGGGCTCAAGACTTGAGGTGGCCAAAGAAAGTGCTACAGAACTCAGAGGACAGCAAGTTTTTCTCTGACTGAAATGATTTCCAGATGGCTCTGTAGATGGCGTATTTGAAGGGGACTTTGAAAGACAGGTGGTAGTTTAATAAGTAAACACAGAGAAAGAGGTTTTTGAAGATTTAAAAACAAACTACCTAGGGAGGCACAAAACTGGCCAAAGGCCATTCATATTGATAATAATTCTATCAATAATAAATCATAGTCTTATTAATATGGCATCACTTATCTGGATTATAAGAGCTTTGTAGAAAAGAAAAGGTATTCAATTTTTTCAAATATATGGGCACAGAATGGTAGTTGGGACAATCTTCAGAGAGCACTGAATGCTGAGCTAAGGAATGGGGCTTAATTTACCTGATGGAGAACCACTGTGGGGCTTGGAGCAGGAAACCCAGATAAGCCGATGGCATGGCATAGTGAAGTTAGGTGAGCTCCTCCGGAGCAGCAATTTTATCTTATTAATCGGTGGGTCCCCTGTGCCTGCCATCACACTTGGCATGATAGTAATGCTCAAAATAATATTAGTTTATATTTCAACTGTTGATTAGGGAGGTGGCAGAAAATTCTGTCAAATCAGCAAGTCACTTTCTGGCAGCTTTAGGGAGGCTAGATTGAAGGAAGGAACATTAAGGATAATAAGGCACTGAAATCAGATCGCAGCAATGGAAGAAAGGGATGGGTATACGTGAGGTCATGTTGGAGGAGCCAGCAGGCCTCAGCGACTGATTGGATGTGAGGTCTGAGAGTGACTGAGGGATGGCTTCTCCCCCAGCACAGCCTAAATCTACTCAGCTAATCGCATTCAGATTACAGGGCTTTTCTCAATGAAACCAAATTTGGAGGGAAAGATTCCAGGTTGGGTGTAGAAACTAACATAGAATTAAAACAACCCACCATAGACTTTTAAAGCAGCAATGATACCTAACCTTTGGAAAAGTGAGCATCACTACAGGCATTCATGAAAAGTGCGCACATTTCAGGCTTCTGAAGGCCCCGGCGTGGCCACACACAGGAAATTCTTGGGAGGCAGCAAAGGGTATGTGCGAAGCCTCAGGCTTGACAACTGGCAGACCAGGGTTTAAGGCCTTCCTCAGCCACTCACTAGCCATGTGGCTTCTCAGAGAAACCTGAAACTTTATTACCTGTGAGTTAATGATAAAAATAGTAGAGAGCTATGTAAAGATTAAATGAGACCATGTAAACGGGGTGCTTCGTAAATGTTAGTTCCTTCCCCTCATGCTGTCCTTCTTTCTTATTCTCTGGAATCCAATGAAGTACCCCTACTTCCAACACAGTTCCAGACAAAACATACTTTTATTTATAGAGACTGCTCCCAGGAAGGTTGTGTTTATAATCGTGTACTCTATTGTCTTTCATTCTGTGCCAGCTTCCAGGCCCACTCAATTTCTTTCCATCTCCCTGGTGTTCATCTCCAAATATGGTTCCACCAGCAAATTTCCCAAGTATCCTTTTATTCTGTCTTTGGGAAGATGATTAATGAAGATCTTAAATCAGGCTGGCATAAATAACAATGCTTAAAGCAATCCTCTGGACACTTTTGTTCCACTCATCAGAGAGATGGTGTCATTTATTATTAGGTCTTGTTCCAGTTTTCCAGCCCCTTGAAAAACTCACATGAAGACACTCATTTCCATATCTACTTGAATTAGCCTTGCAAGTGAATGCTCATGAGTTACTGAATCAAATGTCACCACGAGATAGAACATCTGTTACATCACGCTGACCTATCACTCTCTGCTCTCATAAATCTTCATGGTCAAAACAAATTAGTCTAGGATGTTATTTCTAATAAACATTCTCTTTTGTTGTGTGTGGCTTATGCCCAAAAGGAGATAATAGACCAGTGGATAAAAATAGCAAAATCTCATCACTGGTTCCAGCCCGGTCAGGTGATAAATAATGAATAATGACTCCTTGGCAAGGAGAGAAATGCATACCAGTAAAACAGCCTATACAGAGGGTCTGTATAAGAGTCTTGCCTCATGAAGCTCAATTCTACAAAGTCATGGACAGGAATTACTATCTGGGTTTAGAACCAAAAATAGTGGCAGTATTCTTGAACCTTGCTTTTCCCTAATAGATCCTTGATTATGTTACTCACAGAGGTTCTCTTTTCTTGTTTCCCAAAAAAGTGGAGCATTATATGGGTGGTTCAGCTATAGACAATGGGGCTGAACAAGGGAATATTTTTCAGTGCCTCCCCAGGCTCCATGTAGTCCCCTTACCTTTTCATTTCATTGTGGCACTTTAACGCAATATAAAATTTACCATCTTAACCATTTCGAATGTGCATTTACGTTGTTGTTCCATCTCTGCCACCATCCTTCTCGAGAGCTCTTTCTATCTGGCAGAACCGAAGCTCTGTGTCCATTGAATAATCACTCCCCCGGGCCTAGCAATCACCATTCTTTCTATCTCCATGAACTTGACCACTCTAGGTATCTCATTTAAGCAGAATCATATACTTTCTCCTCACTTTTAATGAATGCTTTCTTCCTGTATTTGTTCTATATTCATAACCCCTCTTGAAACAAAATGGAGGATCAATACACAAGTAAGGATATAGAACACAGCAATTTCTGGGGGGCAAGAAACATTCCATTCTACATGTATCATGTCAATGGTAAGGCCATAATGTTTGCTAATTAGAAAAAACACTGGATTGTAAGAACTAATCATTATCTAAATAGCTAATGTTCAGACAGGCAGCATATTTAAGGTAACAGTAAGGTCAAAGGAGAGACTGAACATAGTAGAGGTTCCTACAAGGAAAGAAATATCAAGATAATTGAACAAGGAAGCAATTGTAGATTCAAACTGAGACCTACTAGGCTAAATGCCAATATACCAGGTCACAAAGCTTATTGACAGAACTGCCTCTTTGGCAATGGTTCTCAAACCTTAGTGTACATAAAATTAATCAGCACAAACCTACCTAATCAAAACCGTATTTATGGACTGGGACTCAGAAGCCTGAGTACCTCATCAGTGCCCAGGTGGTTTATAGAGAAGGTTTCTTTTGAGCGTTGAGAAACAATGGTCAGTGCAGTAGACTAGAGGCTGTGAGGCCTGCCTCTGCTTGGTTGACTAATATGATCTTGACTTACATGATGCACATAGCCCCATGATATCCATTACTACCTATTTGTATCTGCTTCACTTTCTTTCTTCTACATTGGTTATTGCCTGACCAAGCTATCCAAAACAGAGGCCAGGCCCTGACCAGTGTGGCTCAGTTGGTTGGGTATCGTCCTGCAAAGCAAAGGGTCACCGGTTCAATTCCCGGTCAGGCCACATGCCTGGGTTGTGGGTTTGGTCCCCGGTCAGGGCATATACAGGAGACAACCAATCGCTGTTTCTCTCTCACATCAATATTTCTTTCCCTCTCTTACTCCTTCCCTTCCAATTTATCTAAAAATACATAAATAAATAGGTTTTTTTTAAACACACAAAAAACATTGGGCCACAGCAGGAGTGAACAACATTAGACATAGACCATCGTTTGGTCTTCCACTGTAGGGTCAGCAAGGGCCACTATCCCTTTACCACTGCAGCCTTGAGAACAGACCCTGTGTTGGTTTTATTTTGTGCTTCTTTTTCAGACTGCCTCTTTGCCATCAAAGAGGGAAAATACTGGCCCCAGTGAAGCTGTGTTCAGCATGAAAGATCAGTATCTAGCTTCTCTCTCATCGACAGCTTTCATTTTCTTTCTAGAACATGTCAGTGCTGGAGAATCACCACTGGCGCTCTACAATCGGCATGCTTCGGGAATCAAGGCTTCTTGCTCACTTGCCAAAGGAAATGACGTAAGTAGTGTGGAGATGAAACATACTGATGTCCACAGTAGAGATAAGCCGCCCTCTCTAGGACACGCTCGAGACCCCCCGGGTTAACAGTGGGGAGCCAGCTTGCTGTGCTTCCTGCCTCTGCTCCGTATTGTCTGTCAGGGGAGATTCGGTGTCAGCCCTGCAGCCCAGAAACCAGCTTCTCTCTGTGAGCTTTGAAAGGGCTTCAGATCGTCTGTGACCTAACGTCAGGAAAAGGAGAATAAACAGTTCTCCGCTTTCACACTCCTCAGCATCAACGCTCTGCTTTGCCAAATGCCTGTCTTTTATGTTAACAAAATTGTCCTCCTGTGTAGACCCAAGTAATAAATATTTATCAGAAAGGAACACGGGAGTTCTCAAGCTCATTTTAAGACTAGTTCAATGAAGTTTGTATCATAATTGCCAGTCTCAATGGACATAGAAGTCAGGAAGTTTTTTCTAAAATGTCTTTTGTTAAGTAACTGAATTGGCCCCAGTGATTTTTTTCACCATTAATTTACCTATGTCTCTTGTATTTTAAACAGAATGGGAAATACTGGTTTCCTGGTCTGCTGTGTGTTAGGCCGGGGATTTAGGCCGAATCCTCCTAAATCCAGGGCCGCTGCCTCATTGTCCACGTAGCCCCAAGTTTGCTGCTGTAGTGCCTACCAAGGCCAAGACAAATTCTGATCTGTTTAATTAAAATGCACAGAACCTGAGGTAGCTAGGAGAGAAGTAAATAAATAGATCTCTGTGCGCTTCTTTCTGAGGGGCACATAGCTTAAGGTCAGTGGCCAAGTTATGTCTCTCCATAGAACAGGCACTATGCTCTGGGCCCGTGCATTTATTCCTGGCCCTCTGATATGTCTTGGGCTGTTTCCTAGCACCCGGAGGACTGTTGAATTTGCGGAACTTCATTCAGTTCCGATAACTTTTTACTCCCAGGAACTAAAAACCAATCTTCATTCATTGCATAAAAACTCATGCCTTTTACTAAAATAATAAATTTCAAAGATCAAAAAAATGCAAAAAGAACTAAAAACTAGAACAAGAAATCTAGTTAGAAGGAGAAGAAAAGAAGAGGTTGGTGGCAGTGTTCAGCTGAAGAAAGGAGAAGGGAAAGAAAGAGAATGAGGACTGGGGGAGGGGGGAAGGAAAAACAGAGGACTTGTCCTTATAATACCCGCATTAATTCTGCATGTTCCTCAGTTAGTATTCGTTTCCTGAGATACTCCTGCTCATGGATTCCAAATAAGAGTACTATATTTTTCATGTCTTGTGGGATACAGTGTTATAAATTGCTTTTGGTAAAAGAATAATTGTTATGCAATAATATATGTGAAAGGACTTTATAATGAAAGTTATCATCATCATAATCATCATGGTTATTCCTTCTATCCTCATGTAAATGCTATAAAATAATTTTTCTGATTTTAAAAGTAAAGGTTAAGCCCTGGCCAGGTAGCTCATTTGGTTAGAGCATCATCCTGACATGCCAAGCTTGCGAGTTCAATCTCTGGTCAGGTAACATACAAGAAGCAACCAATGAATGCATAAGTAAGTGGAACAACAAATCAATGTTTCTTTCTGTATCTCTCCCTCTTCTGCTCCCCCCCTCCCCCTCTCTATCACTGTCTCTCTTCCCTTCCTCTCTCTCTTTCAACAAATTAAAAAAAAAAAAATAAGTAAAGATTTAAAAAGGTTAACTATACAAGGTAAGTTCAGGAAAGAATTAGCTTAACCATAAATTTAAAAGTTACAGATTAAACTATACTAAATATTAATTCCTTATATCAAAAACATTATTTGAAAAAACAGAAAGACAACCACATTATGGAAAAAGGTATTTGCAATACATAATTGACAAAAGACCACTATTGAAAAAAATATAAAAACCTCTTAAAATCAGTAAGCAAAAGAGAGAAACCCAAGAGAATAATGAGTAAAGACTAGAAAAAAAAACTTCACAAGAGAAGATATATCAATGGCCAATAAACACATGAGATATGTCCAATCTCATTAGTAATCAAGGAAATTTATATTAAAACCAAAAAAAGTTGCATGACATACTCTTCAAATTGATGAAGGGATGTAAAGGGTAAGAATATAAAGCAATGAGAATCTTATTTTATTACTACAATTGTTTTAGAGAAACTTTTTTTTGCACATGTACAACTGGAGGTATATAAAGGTGTTTATTGTGGCATATTTTTTTTGGTAGTCAAAAATCAAAAACAACTCAAGTGACCATCAAAAGAAGAATGGATGAAAACACTGTAGAATATTACTACACTGGAAAACAATATAACAATGAAAACGGATGAACGACAGCACACACATCAACATGGATGACTTTTAAAAACATGATGTTAAGATAAAGAAGCAAGTCACAAACTAGTATTTACTGTGTAACTTGAAGTCCAAAAGCAGTTAAAATTAAACCATATTATTTAGCCATGCACATATAGGTGGTAAATTTATTAAAAATAGCAAGGAAATTATTAAAACAAAGATCAAAAGAGTGGTTACTTTGAATACTGGGAGAAGAAGGATGTGACAGGAGATATAATGGGGACCTCTACGGTACAGGTAATATTTTTGACCTGGGTGATGAGTACAAAATGTTTACTTTATAATGATTCACTGAACTGTCTATGTATGCTCTCTGCACTCTACTTACATATTTTTCATTTTTAAAGATAAATTTTAGAAATAGTTATGAATCTTTCCTCTCATTGGTTATTTTTATATATGAAGTAAAGCTCTAATTTGTTTTATTTTCCCAAAATATTCCACTTTTTCTGCACCTTTTTTTTACTATATTGCTTGTTTACTGGTTGATAATGGCGCTTTAATCAACCACTATCCTTTTTAAGTCCCAGTGCCTCTTTCCGGCCTATCTTTTTTTTCTGTTGATGGATCTTTCCATTCCACAGTATCAGTCACTACTGTGTCTTCATTACTATTACTGTTATTACACTCCTTTCTTTCCCCATACAACTCTTAATGTTTGAGCTAGTTTGAATGCTATGAAAGCACAACCCAAACTCCTGTGCATGTCTTTTATTGCCCTTCCTAACATACATTTCTACTTGGCTTTCAGCTGTTCCGCCCATAGTAACCAGGGGTATGCAAAAACTACCATACCTTTCTTTGTTTATCTGAGGTTTCGATCATTCTTTGAAGTTCTTGGTGTATCTTCTGTCCGAGGGCAGAAGTGATGGTGCTGGGGGGAGACTTGCCCTTGTTCTGTGAGGGACCGGGATTCTGTGTAATCAACAGCGTCAAAGGCAAAAGTGAGATTACAAGCCACCCAATGATGGCAGAATCGCTCACTTTCCTCAGAGGGATTTGCTTTGTGTGTGTGTTTTCTCTTTCATTCTCGTGGGTACAGACAGGATATTGAACAGCAGCTGGGCTCCTTGATCTTGGCAACAGATATCAACAGGCAGAATGAATTTTTGACCCGACTGAAGACTCACCTCCAAAATAAAGACTTACGACTGGAGGATGGACGCCACAGGCATTTTCTGCTTCAGGTAAATAACAACAATAGAGCCATTACCCGTGCTGGGTGAAAATACTTAGGGACACGATCAATAATTTTAGCACATTGAAGATGGAGCATCTCCCGTGGTATAAGTCAGAGCAGTGACCTACTTTATTAAAAGCTTTGAGACACATGAAATTTTTAAGTGGTTTCCAAGCAAGAAGAATCTGGGTTTTGGGTCTGTAAGTTGATAGTATCTTGTTTTTTCCTTTTTTGGTAACTGCTTCACCCAAGGTAGCCCCACTGGGTATTGCATGCAATAAGAATCAACTGCATTTTGTGCCTTGATGTAAAATTGATACCTGTGCAATTTTAAAAGACTGTTTCTATAACACAAAAATATATTATTTTAACTTTGGTTCAAATAAAAAATTCAGAAGCAAGTAGCCTTCCTTTACCTAAAACATATTTAATCAAACCGTACTTTACTTCTTTTTACTACCTAAACTCATATTTTCATCTGAGGCGCAAACATGCTTACCTAGTCTTAACATTTTTAGGCACCAATAAACAGATTGTTTTAACTGCGTGAATTGAATCATGTGAAGCCCAACCCTTTCTGCATCCTTCCATGACAAGAAGCCATTTGTGACATGAAACCAAGAAGGGTGGACCCCAGGAGTAGAACTCTAACTTGGTGTACAAAGCGGAGCCTTTTTCTTGATCTTCAATTTTATCTTGTCTTCCTTTTGGCACAATTGACTAAATGGATGGACCCTGGACTCATCTAAATAGACCAGCTTTAACCAAGGAGACCTAAGTGCATGGCCAACCGAGCTGCACCACTGTTTCTGCTCCCTGACTCCATGCTGCCCTCTAGCTGTCCTAAGTGCCGCCTCCTTCCCAGGAGATGCTCTCCTCCCACATGGAACCCTGTATCTCCCTCCTTCTTTCTTCCCAGACTAGTCTTCTCCTCCCTAACTGCCACAAAGATCAACCTGGTGTCTGATTTTAGAGACTCAGGCCAAATAGTGAGTCGCTGAAAGATTTGGCCTAAACTCTTGCATTTCGAAAGGAGAACTTGTTGGCACAAATGAATCCCCAGGGGGCAGAATTTGGAGGGGACTTCTGCCCCTTACCTACTCCAGCATGTACTGGTGCCTCCGTTAACCAGGAAATAAAGAAACAACCAAATTTGGAACTTAATGTGACCCGGGCTCCCCCAGACCCCAGCACTGTTAGTCATTCCACGATCCCAGGGAACTGGGTCAAAACAGACCTTGCTGGTGGGCGGGGTGCATGGCAGAAGCCCACCTGGGCAGCAGTGTCTCTGCAGCTGGTGGCAAGGGGCAGAACCTACTTGTCTGGGAATTCAAGGTAACCCTCCCAGGGTCGACATAACCGAGAAAGCAGACATCTTAGATCCAGGCATGTGTGAAGCAAGCCAAGAGGTCTTGATTTAGTTCCGCAAACAAAACACTCCTCGATTTGATAGGACCTAGCTCCCCGGCTGGCAGTCAGAGCCTGCTTATGCACAGAGACACCGGTGCATAAATACAAACACACATAATTAAAGCGATGTATGTAGTTGGTCTGTTTGGCCACTGTGAGAGTGAGGTCCAAAAGATCCCACTCGAGCCTGGCTGGGGCCCCTGTGGCCACCCTGCCCATGAGAGGTGGGGCAGCAGAAGGAACCAGGCCACAGCTTTCCTTGGCCGGCCCACCCCAGGTCTCCTCCAGAAAGCTCCGTGTCCTTGGACGGTGGCTCTTCTCTCCTTCTCACTGCTGTAAAGTGGGAGTTCTGAATGAAGGGTTTGTGTGGTGCTGAAGAAGTGGTGTTTCCTGAAGAGACACATCAGAGGGGCCCTGTGTGAATATGGGCCTGGTACCATGAGGCTCACTGGTGGGGGGGGGAGCCGGGGGGGAAGTCCCTGGGGCTTGGGGTGCATTTGCTCCTGAAGAATCCCGCTCTGACAGTCTCCCCCTGCCCTGTCACTTTTCAGATTGCCTTGAAGTGTGCTGACATTTGCAATCCTTGCAGAATCTGGGAGATGAGCAAGCAGTGGAGTGAGAGGGTCTGTGAAGAGTTCTACAGGCAAGGTGAGCTGTGACCTGTGGCTGCAGTTGCGCCGCCCCTCCTCCTCTTGGGCAGTTATCCCAGTAAAACAGGAAATGGCTAACCTATTGTGGCACTTGTTCTTTCATCGACTCTTATTATCCTAACCTTTCCCTTTGCCTCTCTTGCAAACCGTCCATCCCTTTTTTGGAAAATATTTTAAAATAAATAACGTTGACTTATTATGGAAACAGGTACTAATGAGGTGCAATAAAAGTGAGTGAAAACGGGATATATGTATGTATTTTTTAATGGTTTTCTTCTGTGGATATAAAAATGTGAGGGACAGTTTGATTTTTACCCTGACCTTCATTTTAATCAGCTGACCGCAGCCTAAAGGCTAAATGCCATCTGTGGTCAATGTTTTCCACTCTGACAGGACTTAACTCCTTTTGTGTTTCTTCCCCTCACTTTCTTAAAAAAAGCTAATAATGAAATAGAGCACAGCTGACCAAGAATTGACTTCATCCTCTCAAATAGATATATGAAAAGTCAAATGGCTCCAGGTTAGGGTATAATTGTTAAGAGATTAACCTCATTCAGGAATAAGGCAATGAATTTGAGCAGGACCTTGACGTCTGGTGGGATATCGGCCTTCAAACGCAGCCCTGTTTCTTCAGGCCCAGTTTCAGGGCTCAGGATGTTTGTTCAGGCACAACAGTGCCCTGATGTTAGTGACGGGATCAGGTGTGAGAGGCTGAGAACAAATAAAGCCTGAAGTGTCCCACATACCAGCTCTGTGGGGAGGTCAAGTAGCAACAGTGAGCCTTTTGGAGAAACCTCCATCGAAAGATGTGTCAGTGACATTGTAATGGTCCCAAAGACAGAAGACAAAGCAGAATGGATTGGGTTCATGTGGGGACAAAGGGCTTTGCTCACCATCTCTTCCGCCCAGAGGAAAAGTGCTCATGTAGCTCCCACAACTCTGTGTAATTTCACTTCAATTGGGTGTAAGTGGTTACAAATCAAAAGATCAGTTCTAGTTGCCCCTGATATAAAATCTCCACTGAGGGAAAAACAAAGGAAAATAGAATGAAATTGGAGCAGAGAGGTTTCAAATTAGATAAGATAAATACTTTCTTTACTGTGTGATACAGAAAATATTGAAAAAGCACAGTCAAAGAAGGACTAGGTTCTTCATCCTTGGAAATCAAACAACAAGACAGAGGAAAAATTCTACTCTGTCCCTCTTGGTTTGACTCAGGCATGTGCTCCTGTTGGCATTGATTGCAGTTAACCCTGTCATTTGCTTATCTTGCACCCGTATTTGGACTATGAGCAACTCGGCAATCATGTCTCTTGGGCAGATTATAATGGCCACACAGTTGGTGAATCAAAATTGCTAACTAAGTGGAGTAAATGGGGTCAAACAAGAAAAATAATCTGTAAGATTTCTTTGCAAAGAATGGGTTGTTGTCCTAAGAATATATGCATGTGCAGTATTGTAAGATGGAACAACCTGGAACATTTGTAACTGTTAAAGCTGAGCTTCCATGCCCTGTGCTCTGGCTTGTCTCCTGGCAGAGAAAGAAGACTAGAGTCTTCTTTCAAGACTCTCAAGGAACCTGTTGGGTCCTTGTTATTTAATTGCATTGTGGTGTAGTAGAAGTTCAGCCCGTTTAAGAGGAGAAGACCAGATTCTCTGGTCATCCAAAGTGCATGTCCTCCATATTGAATTAGTATCTTAAAAATTATATATACATGACTTTTATCATTTTGATTAATCTTATTCTGGCTTTTAGTTTAGGATTTGGGCTTTCAGAGACTGCTAACAGTGCCAGACAAAGTTTCTTTAATGATTTGTGATGTTGAGCAAAAGAAACCCCATAGAAACAAGGTTGAGGACAAAGTGAGAAAGAAAATAAGATCCTGTAAATTAGGAAAACAGTGTTAAATTTTGAGAATAGTTCTTAGGATTCTACCCCTCCTCTCGATGCCTTAAGGAAGTAGAGTCTCTTTCCGGTTGTAACTACAGACTGGTATCATCTCATTCAACCAAGATCCCAGAAGTTTTCATTGAACATCTGCTTCCAGCCTTGTCTAATCCTCAGAAACACTGTGATTTTCCCCATATGCCAAACTTTACTGGGGATGTCATGAATGATACAAAGAAGTATAGTTAATGTTTCATAACCTCAAAATACCAACCAGCACAGTTCCTAGAGGAAATAAACTATGCAATTTTCCTCTTTTGAATCTCTACATTGATTAACAAAGTGTCTAGAATGCATAGTCCTTTATAAATATATGTTGAATAAGTAAATGAATAAATGATCTATTTGGAAGCCCTCTCATGGCTGAGGTGAGAAGAAGATCTAGTGCTGAGGAAGCTAGAATCTGAGCTGGGTATTGAAGGATGAGTAGTACACTGTACTTTCCAACAGATAGTCAGAGGCACATAATTAATTTATGTAATTTATGTAATTAATTAAAATTACATAAAATAGAAAATTGGGTTCCTCAGTATCTTTAATTATATTTCAAGAGGCTACTGTAGTGTCCAGTGCAAAGAACATTTCCATCTTGGCAGAAAATCCAACTGGACAGCACTGGTCTACACAGAGCAGAGTGTAAACAGACAAAGGCCTTGAGGCAGGACCATATCCCTGCCTTGCAGACCAGGTTGTCCCCTAGAAGGTGAGAAATGAGAGGATGTGTCGATATATACCAGGCAATACAGTATGACACTTTCTCATAGAAAGTGCATTTAGAGCAACATATGTAATTGAAGTAGAAGAAATACTGAAGGAAGACAACTAGCTAAGGAGCAAAAACTAAGGGTGAGTTATCAAGAAACCAAATTAGAGTTAGGCAGAGTGAAAGTGAGGAAGAAAAGATATTCCAAGAAAGGAATAAACAGAATTTGATGTCTCAACATGGAGAGTGAAAGAAAGGGAAAAATCAAAGATGACTCTTCCAAAACATCAAGTTCAATGGAAAAATCGCAATGAACAAAAACATGAAGGTGAGGAGTAGAACTGGCTTTGGAGGAATTCATTTTAGTATTAAACAATGTCATGCCCTGCCCTCAGAAGGCAATCATCATCTGTCTTCCCTGAACTCCTCAGGTTAAGCCAGAGTGATTTCCTCACAGCATTCTGGACAATCACCAGAGCACAAGATGCAATGAAAGGCATGGCTGCTGTCTCAGAGAAAATGGTGGAAATGTGGCATCCCTAAGGTTCTGCATCAATAGTTCAGTGTAGACATGCGGGAGCCTGGCTTCCTAGGTTGGAATCCAGGCTCCTGTCTCTACTAACAATGTGACCTCGAGTCAGCATACTTCCTTTCTGTTCATCTCAATTTCCTTATCTGGAAAATGGGGATTATAATGAGGTTATTATGAGGATATAAATAATTCATGAATTACATAGGTAAACATAATTAAATTAATTACATAGGTAGAATGTTTAGAACAGTGCCTGGCACACAATGAGCACAACATAAAGGTTATGTTTTTATCTCCCCTAGTTCAGAGGAGTCTATTCACAACTGTAAGCCTGATTAATGTCTCTGAGGACCAGCTTATCTACTAATTAACCAGCTTGTTTTTCCCAATGCAATTTTTCATTCTCAGGAAGAATCACTGAAAGTATTTTGATAAAGCTTTGCACAGTGCATTTCTCCTTTGGCTTTCTAGAAGCCATATGTATTAAGAAATATATCATTCTGACCTTTATACTTTTTTTTATTGTTGTTCAAGTGCAGTTGTCTACATTTTTCCCCCCACCACTCTCCCCCTTTATACTTTTTTATAACTTCAGTTACACTAGGTAACATTCTAAGGAGTCAGCAGGAAAGATATCAGACCCTTATTTCTGATTAGTTCTGTGGCTGCCGACTGGGTCGCTGTTCAGATGAGAACTCCTGGTCCCTCGCCTTCATTTTCTACCTACTTATTATTTCTGGTTGTTCAGGTGAAGCCAGACAAGGGTCAGGACGAGTGAAAGGAGAGGAAGAAGTATAAAATCTGTTTTTTTAACCTGTAACTTAAAGCCAGAACTTGCATCTCATGTTAGGAAATTGCCCATTAGTTTTGCCCTTGTTTTTATAGAGCTTGTTCAAAAGTGTACTTTAGTCCCAGAGCACAGTTATTTACAACAAGCTTATTATAAATGGTCATTGACACTCTGAAATTTTAAATTTTCACAGAAACTACCAGAGCAAGGCAGAGCAAGTCAAAGCTAAAGGCTTCCTAAGGGTAACAAGGCATAGAACAGTAATTCCCAGAATAATTTCTTCCCACTAGGTGGTTAAAACTATCAACTCTCAATTTCATAAGTTCCAGATTATCAATGTGTTTCTTCTTCTTTCTTCTTAGGTGACCTTGAACAGAAATTTCAACTGGAAATCAGTCCTCTTTGTAATCAACAGAAAGATTCAGTCCCTAGTATACAGATTGGTGAGTTGAATTCAATTTTAATTTTAAAGGAATATTTTGACACCTTTGCCAAGAGTTAGAAAGAAAAGAAGATCTACACACAACTTCTGAAAGACCCAAGCTGGAGATTTACTCAATGCCCCGTGAATGGCTGAGTCCAAATAAGCGCTCTAATCATGACTAATCTACTAGGTAATTACCAATAGAGAAGTTATGAAAAACAGGGTAAAGGTTTTGCTATAGACTTTTAACTGACCTTTATTAACATTGTCTTTCAGAATTAAATCAAAATCAAATAGAGTAGAAGGAAAGTTGTAAGAATCAGCTATTCACTACCAAAGAGCAGAGTGGCTCCCGTTCTCTTTAGGACTTACAGGGTGGGAAGTCAGCAGAATAGGCCTTTAGGGCCCTCCTAGTTTGGATAACTACGCTTCATCCCCAACATTCAGTCTCGAGAGCCCAGGTGCAGACCATGCCAGCCATGCTATTCCTTGTGGCCTGGGGTCCCATGCTCCTCCGCTCTCCTTCAAAACTAATCTTCAGTCTCATCTTCTTAGGACCACACACCAAAGCCAATTGCACTAAACTGTTAAACTGTGATGTTAATGAATCTAAAATAACTATTACTTTAATACATTATATATGAGATCATGAAGCAAATCAAACTGGAAAATTCAGGCATTTTAGTGGGGTAAATATTTTTGACCCAGTAAGAATGTCTATCACTCCTTAAACACTCTACCTATCCCACCTACATATAAAGCAAGTCTTTCTTCTCCTTGCAGTTTTCTCAAATTAAAACCACTCAGAACTTGACTCTTTTACTTGTAAGCTATGGTCCTGACATGTACCAGTTTATGTTTTTCACCAGTTTCCACAGACCTCAAATAGCTTAACTCATTCATGGTGTTGCAGACCCTTACAGGGTTCAAAGTTTAACGTCTTGACATTGGCTGGTAAGGGGCCACCCAAAAAGATAAGCTTAAAATTAAGAAAACCAGAACAAGTTAAAATGATATGCTCACTGTCACTGAGGGTCAAATCTAATCCACAGTCCCATAAAGTGTGATGAAATCATCCTAAAAAGTAGGGACAAAATTAATCTAGTTACAAAAATTCAAATGGAATCTACAAACTTTAAAATAGGTATGTTGGAATTATGAGATTATTCATTGTCCTTTTCTTTTCCAAATTGCCCTTAATAGTGTTGTGTTGTTTTTACCCTTAAAGTGATTCCTCTACCTGAAAAAGGGGAAGAGGGTTTTTTGTTAGTTTGTTTTTTTTTAATTGAACCCAGGAAGAAGCCAGGGCAGATGAAGCTACAGAATTGCTGGAGGAGCGCAGAAGCGCAGGCGTGGCTTCCCCGAACCCAGGCCCCTCCTGTAGGGCCGCTTCCATTATGGGGGCCCTGCAGATGCGATAGATACAAAAGGAATAGGCCCTGACCGAAATCCTAATCCCAGGCCCACCCCACTAAGCTCTGGCTAGAAAGAAATTTGCCAGGCTCCGTTCAAGGTATCTTGAACTGCCAAAGAAAAACATTCACATTGTTAAGCACAGAACCTGGATTTCCCAACGAACGCGAGTTCAGAGATTCTGTCCTGTTGTCATGAGAACGCACTTATTTTGTCAGATCATATGTCCTGATTTTCAGCTCAGGAAACTGTGGTTACCATAGATACCTGTTTTTAAAATGGGACAGGGACTGACTAGGAAGATCTTGTGGATGCTAAACCAGCAAACCGATAACAAAGAGGAAAAAGTGGTTAGAAAACAACCCTTAGGACAGAAATCTTTGTCTCTGCTCCACACCCGCCAGCTGTGTAGGTTCAGGGTTGGGAGGTGTGGTGTGCTGGGCTAGATCTGGCTGAAAAACAGATAAACAGAGTCCCGTGGGAGCTGCGGGGTTCAGCCTCCCAGGCAAAGGCTTTTCCAGTGGGTCCTGAGTAATGCGGCACTTTCCTCTCTTAACTCCCCTGGGATTGAAAATGTCCCCTCTCTATTCCCTGTCCCAATCCACGGTGGGAATTTCCTAAGTGCCATCTCAGGATTAGACCTGATTTTCTCACTGGGTAATTCGTATTCCCCCAGGGAGGCCTGGGACTTCATATCTCCCCGTCCCACCCACCCCCGTTGCTCTTCTCTTTCCATCAAACTCTGTATTTCAAAAAGATGTAAAAGAAATGAACCTCTAATTGATGAAGTCTATAGAACGATGAGGAGAAAGGCTTTTCTTCAAGCCTTGTTTACTCTGAGGCTACCATCTCTCCCTCGCCCCACTCCCACCCTTCAGGGGGACAATATCCAGGCAAAGTCACTACAGCACTTGAGTAGCAGCAGTGGGAGGTCCCCAAACCTGATCCTGCAGATTTGTAACGAAAACCTTCCTTCGCTTGAAAGACTGCCTCGTGATACCTGTTCAGACTTTAAAATGGCTTTTCCATATACTGTAAGAGGTCTTTATATGTGACAAGTAGAAGCACAGAGGTGAATTCCAGAATAACTTCAGAGAGAAAATGAGTTAATTTTTAAGTATTGGATTTTTAAATGTTGCATTTTTAACTTTTTTATACTTAAGGTAAACTTGATAAATATTTACATCTTAAACTGTATAGTGTTGCAAACTATCTTTTTATAGATCTAATATCTAATCTCTCTTAAAATGAAAGATACTAGAAATCAGATATGGAGATTGTGAAGGAGGAGAAGGAAATTCAAGAATAGGAAGCAAGAAAATTCATGAATGAGATTCTTACTTGCTGACTCCCTATATAACCTTATCAAATTGCGTACATAAAGTCGCTGGCTTAACTTTCCTCCTCAGATTTAGGTTGTTTAATATGATCTCACAATATTTAAATTATATTTCATAAGATGAGAAAGTGAGGAAATGAACAGTAGTATTCTGCACTGCGGTGTCCCTCTTCCCTTGTCTATGGCATCCTCAAAGGCCAAGTGGCTGCTGCTGGTCCAATGAAAAGATAATGAAATCAAGCCTTATAATTCACATGCCTATACACATGCAGGGTGAGTTGGTGAAAAATTGTAATGCTGAAAACCACTTGCCTCTCCTCTCCACAACTACCTTTCAAGGAAATACAATAAAACCCGAACATATCTAAGTTTGTGATGATTCTAACGATTCGGCTTTAATAAATCATGTTTAAGATGAAATACACATTTAGAATGAAATATGATTAGGAAGCAAAAAGTCTAAAATACTTAAGAGAACAGACATGCAAACAAAGAAGTCTAATATCAAACCATCTTATCTAACTGTTGAAGCAAGACTTTCATGCAGGTAAAAATCTGCATTGAAAATGAATGAACTTTCATTTCCTACACTTAGTTGTTTAACATAATTGAAAGTCAGACAAAACTATGAAATGATAATCCTGAAAAAGATGTTCCATAGGCTAAATGTACGAATTCTTCAGATGGTCTAAATCAATGATGCACCCCTTCCTGACGTGATTGTCCCTCTCCTGCTCTTCCCCCCCCGCCCCATCCTCCTTAGTTCTAGCACAGACATGCTTCTGCTTGTTTGTGTATATGTCTTTTTTCCTATGCAGGGAATAACAACCAGTATTTATTGAGTGTTTGCGAAGTAGCAGGAGCTTTCTAAGCATTTTACACATGTTAAATCATTTCATTGTCATAACAACCCTATGGGTCTAGTACCCTTCTTAGTTCCTTTTTACAAATGAGGAAACTGAGGCACAGAGAAGTCACGTGTCAATCCCAAGGTCACATATCTTATGCTCCTCAGCTGAGGGTAGGGACCACGTCTTGTTTGCCATCATATCCCTGGGCCGAGTACGCAGTGGGCCCGCGTGGTGTTTGTGAGACGGAAAGAAGTCGGTTTCCCTGCCCTTGTGGTGATGAGTTTGGCCTTGCCCGTTTTAGGTTTCATGACCTACATTGTGGAGCCACTCTTCAAGGAATGGGCCCGTTTCACCGGAAACAGCACCCTGTCTGAGAACATGCTAAGCCATCTTGCACACAACAAAGCCCAGTGGAAGAAGCTGTTGCTCAAGCAACACCGAAGCAGTGGCGGCAGCGGCGGCAGAGGCAGCCCGGACCACACAGACCGCGGGACTGAGAATGAGGAGCAGACTGTGACTGAAGGCACCGCCCCGTAGGGCCCCCCAGGCCTGTCCCCTGCTCTGTACACTGAGAGAGTGAGAATCGCCTTGAGCAGAGGCCTCCTGAGAGGGCAGACGCTCTGAGGCTTTCTTGCTCACAAACCCAGCCACTCTCTGGGTTTCATCCTGGGGCTCTTCAGAATGCCATCTTCCTCCTACTTACCTGCCCCCCTCCTTTCTCCAAGTGTACAGAAGCCATTTGTCACCTCAGCATTAGCTGCCGAAACAAGCGACTCCATTCAGTAATACGGAAGCTAAATCCAGGGACAGGCCTTCCCCTTGAGAAGAAGACTGAGGAGAAAGAAAGAGGTGCTTCTGCCATGTCCCCCATGGGCCTTGGGTCACACTGTGACAGGCAGCAGTTCCTAAGTCCAGAGCATTTTAGCATTTGCCATCTGGCTGCTGATCTGCATGACAAAAACACCAGCATATTTGGAACTCCAAGGATATTGGTCTTAAGTGCAAGAGCACAAAAGAGAACGTGAGAGAAAGGACCTTCTATTTTAATAATAATTATTATTATAAAATAATAATAAATCTTTTTAACTTTTATATGTTATGCACTAGACAATGGATCTAAAACTTTAGACTATGATTACTCGGTGTACCCAAACTTGAACAGGGGGTTCATTGTTTTGTTACTGACTTTACACCACTTTGGGTCAAAGATTTGGCATCTTCTCAATTTAAGAAATCATGTTTCCTATCTGATCCGAGGGGAAGGTGCTGTACAGTCATTCCTTTGCACCATTAACCAATCTGTCTTTTATCAATAACTCTGTTTCAATGACCTTTGTATTCACACATGTACACTTTCTGTAAATACCAAGCGCTACTGATTCCCATGCCAAAATACATGAGTATTATGGGATTGCTACCTGTATAAACAATGGCACTGTGAACAGAATCCTGTTAGTTTTAATACAAGAGAATGCATTTGTAAATATGGTATAGAGTTTATTAATATACTATTGTTTGCAGATAAAGGCCTTAACTTTAAACATCTTTCATCTTCTGAAAGCTGCCCAACGTAAGTCCTCAGAGATGTCCTTCTGAACTGCTTTCCCATGTCCATCTCTTCGCTTTCCAGCTAAGGTCACCCACCAAAACTGAACCAAGTCTTTGAGGAAATATTTTGGAAACTTCACGTGCATTCCGCTTGAGACCATAGTGTTTCATCTATGGCACTGAGCATCATTTCCTCAGAGCAACGAGGCCCTTCGGCAAGCCTGAAGTCACTTTTCAATGCAGCGATGTTGCACATTCTGTTTCAACAAGCCAGCTGACAAGCTTGTGTTTATGTGACTCTTGTCATGGACCATGGCAGTGTGTCAACCATAGCGGGTCTCACAAGCCTTCTGTGACCCTGTCATCTAACTGTCAGGGCATTCCCTGCTCCCCTTCCACACTTCCGTCTGTTACGACTACAGTACCAAAGCACTTTTGGTTTATGGTTGGCGTGCATTTCTTTGGTGTTAATAGTAACTGGATTTTTTTCTTTTTCTTTAACTTCATGTGAACAACTATCCACCTGTTTAGCTAAATTTAACATTATTTAAGTAAAGAAAATATTTTAGTTTTCTGATGGAACTTACCTTTCTGGCAGATCATTATGCTTACTCTTGGCTGTAGCTAGCAGAATCGCCTGGAAATTTTGTTGCCATTTTTTCCTGCAGACCCTTGGCCGTAAAATCAGCTTGTTATAGCATTCTTCTCTGGTCAGCTTAAGTTTGTGCATTGAACATTTTCTTTAGAAGTTCTAGCATAGCTAATGTTAGATGAAAATTGGCAGTGTCCCTTTCTTTTAACCTTAAACAATGGGGTAGTGGAAGGTGATGATGTGCTCATTCCTGCCGCTATCAACCTGTTTCACAGGCTGATAGATTGACAGCTAACTCACTTCCTAAGTGCAGCTTTCTTTTTTTCCTCCTAACATACAAATGAAATGTTAGAAGCTTGACTGGATGGTAATAAGTTCCTGTAGAGAGACTGAGGCTTGCTGAGTTCAGGATTAGGGGAAATGTTGGAATGTTGATTATAGGTTCAAAAACATGGCGAGATTGTCAGATGGTACTAAAGAAAGTGTGAGAACTTCATGAAATGGATGGATATGTTGAAATTGTTGGTAGGAGTAAGAAGGGAAGTTGTGAAAACTTAACACTAACTTTTTTTTTCTCTGTAATAACTATGAACTGTCAGATCACCCTTAATTGCTTTAATATTCTGAAGCTCTCAGCTTGGTAGGGCCCCAAAAGAGAATATGTTGAATGTATTCCTGCTTCCAAACCTTACTCATTTTGGTTTGGCGATGCAGAAAGGGCTTTTGAGTAGTCTTATTTTTAATGTATATGAGATCAAATCAAGGAAAGCAAATACTGGGGCAATACAGTAGAGATAAGAAAGAAAATGCTATTTTAGCTCTACCTTGATTTTAGGAAATGGACGTTGTTTAAATTATATTTATATTATAACTTAAATAAATAATATTGGGGGTGTTTTTAGTAGTTTCAAGTTTATAGAGCAAAAATGCTTATGTTACAGCTAGGCCTTAAAGAAGAACTCACAGAGAAAACTACCAAATATCTTATCCAATGGTAAAGCCTATGAAGCAGCTACTAGTACAATAAAAATATGAAGCAAAATGAGACATGGTGCATAAACTAGATGTATTTGTGGCCTCTGTTCAACCATCTGGATGTTTCTTCAGTTCCCTATTTTTAGGCAAAAAAGAGAAGGGGGGAAGAGAGAGAGAATGTGAAAATATTCTTTCCTTGCCTACTAGTGGCTCTCTTGCAATATTTCAATATAAAGACCAGTTACTAGTTGAGACACAGCTGGTAGATCATCCATGAACTTTGTCTTCACATTCTTCTTCCATAGCTTGAGAAGAAAGGAATAAAAGGGCTATTTTTAGTAAGCCAGGTAAAGTTAAAATCAAGTTGAGAGAAAGAGAATATATAACACTGCCAGACGTGATAGGCAAAGTGAGCTTTCCCTTTTAACAGCATCCATGATAGTCGGAACCTACCCATAACTCCCTGCGAGGCCAAGTAAAAGCCCACTCTGTTTCTACCTGCTTCAGATTTCCCGCAAAGGGACTTTGGGTGTGTCCTGCTACACTGTCTCCATATAGCGCTTCCTACAAAAGACAGGCTTGTTTTGTAACCTTTTCTCATGTAGAATCAGATCTGCTCATTGATTTGAAAATTGGTTATGAGCTTGTATCTCACTGTGTGTTTCTTATGCTTTGTTCTTTAAAGAAAACTCTTAAAATTGTGTTGTTTTGTGTACACATGTGAGATTTGGAAATAAAAACACCTTGTGAGTTTCTGCTCAAAATGTGGCCTAAATATCCATTGGCATGTCTAGATAAACAATTAAAATAAAGGCAATTTCTTTAAAATATAACAGTGTGAAAAATTCCTGATTCTCACCACATAGCATGTTATCAACTATCCAACTGGATTCAACAGGGAGAGGGAACTTTCCAGAAAAAGAGCACAGATGCAGGCATGATCCACATGACTCCTTCTCCTGGGGGCTGTAGGAACAGCCATGTCCATAATGGCATCGCTGGCCAGTTTGCCTCAACTTAGGAAAAGAGGGCCACCGTTCAGTTCTACCTTTCCCCTAAGGCCTGATACTTTTCTAATTCACATTTGTAAAACTCATGAATGTAAGAGAATGATGTACAATGTTTTAGGTTGTGAAAACAGAACAGGCTCAATTCAAGAATTACGTGTTCTAAATACGCCTTTGCATATTAGGATTGGAAGCCACCAAGCACAATAGGACAGTTTAAGTGAGACAACCGAGTAGCCTAAATTTATCTAGAAAAAGAGGAGAAAAACAAAACACCACCCTTGTTTCCCAGAAACACCCTTGTCTCTTTAGAACCCCATATCCACTATATGAAGATTGGTATTCAGAATCTCACCGAATTCTTAATGACTGCCATATCTGAAGGCAACACCCCTTTTCCTTTATGCACATTCTATATCACAAAATCAAAATCAAAAGTAAGATCTCAGGGCTATCCAAGTAAAGGTCAGACATGACTTTCCAATGTACCCGTGGACTTAGCGGAAACATTGTCAAACAGACCACATCTATTTGAGCACTAAGAATATGCAACCAATATTGATTGAGGGTCTACTGTGTGCCAGAGATTGTGTTAGACACTTAGAATATAAAAAGTCCTGGCCCTTCCAGCAACATTCAGACTTGTTCAGAGACTGGCATGCCCAGTAAACGCCTCTTACAGGATTCATAGAGCATCTCTGAGGGCCCAGCTGCATCTAAAGCTCCCCCTGTAGTACCACATGATAGGAGACAGGTAAGCTTTGGAGACTAAAGTGGGTCTCTATCTTGATTCTAACACTAACTTATTCTGTGACTGCAGGAAAGTTACTGACCCTCTGTAAAATTATTTCCAGACAATAATATCCTTTTTTATTGTTGTTCAAGTGCAGTTGTCTCCATTTGTCCCCCATCACTCTCCCCCACCCCACCCACCCTCACCTCCTGCCCTCAATCCTACCCACCTTGGCTTTGTTCATGGGTCCTTTATACATGTTCCTTGATGACACTTCCCCATCTTTCCCCCATTATCCCTTATCATATTGTTGTGGCAAATAAAAGAGATTGTGTACAAAAAGCACCAAGCACTTCGGTTCATGGTAGGCTTTCTAGAGACACAAGTCCTCTCCTCTTAAGTTACAAGAAGCTTAACAAATAGCTATTTGTACATGGGTGAGAATGTGGAGAATATATGGGGGGAAATGTAGTAAAGAAACACTGGCAACTTTACATTAGGAGACCAAACTCATTTTTACATATTTTAAACAGATTTGTAAATTTAAATACTTATTTATTTGCAAGATCAGGTAAAATAATTAGCCCTTCATATGGTTGCTCCAATGAAAGCTCTTCCTCAGCTACAGCCTACTTTCTATTTAGTCGTCTATATTCTAGTAGATTGTGTGTCTTTTGCATGCAGTTCTGTTAGAAATTTCTGGGGAGGAACAGTGCCTTAAAAAAAATGAGAATCATTTCTCTCCCTTGCATCTCTGCCACCAAAGCCCCAGTCCTGGCTGGTGACGATGACTCAGGTCCCCTGTGTCAGGCCTGGCGACTTGTCTGGGCTTCCACAGCCTCCACGTGAGCAGCCTGCTCTGGAGCCTCCAGGGTGCATGTGGCTCACATGGCAGTTTTCAAACATGTTCTCAGCTACTGCTTCCGGTCCGTCCTAGGCCAGGACTGAAAGCAGAGGCACTTCTTCACATCCTGTCAGAGAAGAGAGAAGACTCAGTCCTGCCTCCTCAGGCATGTAATGGGCAAACATTTGAGTAATGACTAAACAAGGAGCTATGAAACAGCCCATGATGGGCTTGCTTTCTTTTTCATTTTTTTCAATTAAGCCAGAGAGATTATAGAAAAAATTTTGTTTTAGCTGATACAGTTTGAAGATACATGATTGCCTTGTCTTAATCATCTAAGCAATGATGTGTCTTTGATTCAATTGCCTGAAATGCTTTAAAGTCTAGTATTTCAAGGGCTGGATTTATTCTTCAGTAATTCTTTCCCTTTTAAGGAAGCAATGTGGTAGAGTTTTAAAAGTGTGGAGTCAGGCTGAGCAGAATTCAAAGCACTGTTATCACTTGCTGTTTAACCCTAGGTTGTTAATTTAATCTTTCTGAGCCTCCATTTCCTCATGTATAAAATGAGAATGACACCTACTTCCCAGAGTGGTTTCGAGGTCAACATTCCAATACATACATAAAACATGGAGCACATACATAAAACATATAGGTTTCTAGCAGAAAGGGGGTACTCAACAAATGTAAATGACTCTATATTTTAAAGAAAAAAGCCCCTACAAACTGGGAGTTAAGATATGTCTTTTGCTATCTCTAAGTTGTATAATTTTTGTGTAAAAGGAAACATAAGCTCCATTAATAGACATTAAGTATGATTATACCTACAGGCAACCAGCTTGACCATAAAATAACTCTTAAAATATGAGAAAAATATTATAAAAATTTATTGTAGAAGAAGACAGTGTTCCTGTGGAACTAAAGATATATGGATAAGACCAGAGAAAATAAAGAACTGTCTCTTTTTTTTTTTAAGTGAATACTCCTCTGTCAGCCAGAGCAAACCAACCTGTTTAATCCAAGCCTTTCCTAGAGTTCAGGATAATACAGCCCTGGCTAGAGAGAAGGTTTACTGAATAAATAAAACTTGCCCATCATGAATTCCACTCATATCCTACAAATCCTATCCACAAACGTTTCCAGGGGCCCCTCCCCTTGTAGCTTCAGAGCCCCTCTGTCTGCTGGCAGCAGGGGCGGAGAAACGCAGGCTGGCCTCTGTACACAGGTGACCTCAAAATCTATCTCAGCCTTCTAAATGGACATTTCCAAAATTGCTTAAAAAGATTAAAAATATCTTTAAAAAATTCTTGTGCCAAAAGAATTTAAGTATTCCCTGAAAAAAAAAACATAGCTTCATACCCAAAGAGTTTGAGAAACAACAGATGGAACCACAGGTTGTCTCCTGCATGCTCCTCAGGGCCTGTCTGTGCTCGGGGACAGCGCCTGCAAGGTGAGGCAGGCGAGGCCACTTGTTTGGATCTAATCGCAGTTTTACGTCACAAAGTCTTCCTTGACCACACCAACCCGGAATGATTTCCCCATTTATCATTTACCATATTGTTTCCTCATTTATCATTTGCATTAATGTCATTAGTGATTGTTAGGGTATTCAACCCAATGGGAGATGTAATGTAACGATTGTGGTTAATTTGCCTGAGTTTGTGGCTTGATTTTACCACTTACTAGGTGTCTGACCTTGGGCAAGTTTCCAAACATTTTGTGCCTCAGTTTCTTCATTGGTGAAATGATGATAAAAATACCACCTATTTCATAGGGTTGTAGAAGAGCAAAAGAGTTTGATGCATGTAAAGAACTTTGATTGGTGCCTGACACTTAGAGAAGTCGTTCAACAAGTGTTGGCAAAATCCGCCTTCTCCCTTGCCTGTGCATGGCCATCCCAAACCTGATTGGTAAGCTCCTTGATAGCAAAAATAACGACCGTTTTAGATATAGTCTCCATAGTGTAGCACAGAAGCCACTAAACAAATACTTAAATGGAAGAATATATTTTGATGGATAAATTGAAAATTGTATCAGAATAACATGTGAGCATTTAAATCCAAACCAGTATGTTCCAACTGTAACAATAAAAGTCCCAAGAATTTGAACGCAGATGTTTTTTTTTTTCAAGTTCGCTAATTCCTCTCTGGTAGCTTTCTATTGTTTCTAGGAACATGGTTTAGGAAGACAGTCGGTTTTCTCCTCCCAGTTTGTTAGCCTACTCTGCTGAGTGGTGAGGACAAAGATCATCCCCTGAAGCCTTGATGTCCAAAGACCTCTAGGTTTTTTTCCATCCCGCTGGAAAGGGAGCTTATAGAGGGACCACTAAATGCTTTCTTTTAGAGGGCAAATAAAAGTCCCACTTTAATACACAGTCCAAGAAAAGAGAGAGACAATTTCCAATCCTCATCTTTAAAAAGAAACATGGTCATAGCAAATGAGCCTCCTGTTTTATTCCTTTTCCAAGGACTGGAGATTCCGTGTCACCGACTCCTGCTCTTCTCCCCAGGAAGCAATTGCTCGTGCATTTTTTAAGTTGTCAGCAGAGCAAGCCCAAAGGACCAAAACGCAGGGTCAGTTGATGGTGGGGCAGGGGAGTATTTATATCTTCCTACTTCCCATTGTTTTGTTTTTGTCTGGCCTTTTCTAGCCGGGGAATTTCACTTTACATGTCAATCGACTTTCATCCCCATGTGAAGAGAAATAACTCACAAATGAAAAGAGTATCGATAGTGTCATATACTGCTAGCAAGAGTGAAAAGTATATTCTACAATTGCAGGCAAAGTTTGGAGCGATAACCTGACTGACTCGTTCAGTCAACCACTGCACAGACGGTGATATCTGAGAGCACCAGCGCCAACCTCTGAGCGGGATGAGGTGAGAAGGACCTTCAACAGGGCAGGCAGACCACCGCATAACGGCCTGGGCCTCATTCTTTGAGAGTTTGGGTACACACAAGTGTCATGGGAAAGTGCTGCGGGTCTGTGGGGAGGGGAGAAAACCTGAACTGAGTAGCTAAAATGACTACTGCATGTTAATAAAGTTTTATTGGGGCCAGCAAACAAACTATGGAGCAAGCAATTACTGGGCATGAGTTTTTTCTACTTTGTCATATTCAAAGCTAAGTGTTTTAGGGACTCAAATTTTTTTTATGCATGGTCGGTAATGGCTCTGACCAGGTGTCCAGTATGTCATTAAACTGTCCATATAAATCAAATCATTTGTAGAAAGTGATTTCTCAGGCTTAATTTCATTCCAGAAACAGTAATACTACAGTTTATTTTGCAAATTTGTAGTGAGGATTAGAGCCAATAATGTATGTAGAGTGCTTTGCAGTG